CCGGAAATTTTCATTTTAGCTTAGTTTTTTTCATCCTAGACTAATTCGATGTGTAATTAGCATTTTTTTTTTTTTTTTTGATTCGTTGTTAAAAAAACGAAGAATTTCCGTTTATTTAGCCAAGATTTTCTTTTTCGTTATCATTTGGGACCGGACAAAAACAAGTTAAACAAACAAATTAGCGCAAAAATAAATTTCAGCTAGAATATTATGCAAGTAAAAGTCACTTAATTGATGTTTGATGTTTGTTTTTTTTGTTTTGTTTTGTTTTGTTTTGTTTTGAAATTTGATTTTCATAGTGAAATAATATTTGATACAAATATGACAACTAAATCAATGGTACATTTTCAATTAAAATCTATTGATAATGGTCGTCAATTAATTTGTTTGGCATTACGTCCATCATCGAATTTATTTGATTTTGAATCTGGAACTTTTGAACAACAACAACAGCAACAACAAGGTGACAAACAACAACGATTAATTATAAATAAAATTATTGCAGAAATTCTTCATCAATCATCTAATCGTATGAATGGTAAAAGAAAATTTCGTATAAATTCATTGGAAAAACGAAGAAAGAATTCATCTTCGGAAAAAACAAAAAATTTAATCAAACAACAACAACAACGAAAACAATTTGAAAATCAAAATAATGATAATGTAAACAACATCCAAAATAATAATGATTTTTACATGAATCGATCCAAAACTATTGATTATAATTCTAATAATAATGGTAAAAAAAAACATACAGAATCCCATTATATGTTAATGATGATCATTATAATTTTTTTTTCTCATTCATTCATTATTTTATTTTTTTTCCGTAGACAATAATACTGGTGATGATGATGATGATGATGATGATGGTAATATTGATAATGATAATGATTATGATGGTAATGATCATTATCAACAACATGTTCATAATGATCACCGTTTTTTACCATTATCATCATCGAAATCGAAAACAAAATCGACAATGACAACAACAACAACAAAAACATTATTGTCGTCAATCACCTCAACAACAAATAATCATCAATATAATTTCTATGTTTATGATCAGATTACATTGACTGTTGAATGTAAGTTTGGATATTATTTTTATTTTTGTGATTTCGATGAACTAAATCAATCACATTGACAATGATGATGATGATAATTTTTATGATGTTTCAGAAATTTTGTTACAAATTTTCCTATTTGTTTGACAATGGTCGATTACTTTTTCCTCTTTCTTTCTTATTTTGTTCAGTTTTTTCCGAAGCTAATTTAAACATTTTCCAAAAGATTTCTTCGAAAATCAACAACAATAACAGCGACAAAAGAAATAGATCACTATATCCATTTCAAATGGATCGATATTTTTCTTTGTCATCAAGTTACTATAGAATGATAACTTTGTTTACTTGAAAACTAAGAAAATTTTTTCTCCCCCCAAAAACCATTCATCTTAATAATCGATTTGATTCTGAATATTTTTTTTTTGTTGCAATCTTTCCAATTCTTCCAAAAGATTAGCCATCGAATCAAGATAGTGTATGTGTGTGCAGAACTTGTCTATTCATTCAAAAATAAAGAAAATTTTCAAGAAAAAAAAACAAAAAATTTCGGGAAAATGATTACCGTAAATATTATTAGTAAAGTGTTATATCAATGAGACATCATCATTGTTTTTTTTTGATGTGATATTCTTAAGACGCCCACGGGAACCATCTTTATAGATGATTTTTTGTTGTTACTTATTTTTTTCTTTAACAATTCTTACCCGAAAAAAAGAAATTATCATCAATGTTTGTTTGTTTGACAGAATAAAAAACATCATTGATGATTATAATGATGATTTGTACAGAATGTTTCCATGGAAAAGAAAATCATCATAAAAATTGACTAAATGAAAATGAATGAATGAATGAATGAAACGTGCAAATGTACAATATTGAAGGATATTTTTATGGATTTTGAAACTTTTTGTTTTGTTTTTTTTGTTCGGTCTATGAATAGAGAATATGGAAAGAAAGAGAAGTAGAAAAAAAAGAAAAAGTTGATAATAAAGTCAAGAGAAAATGATTTTCAAGTTTCGATGAAATATTTCCGTTTTTTTTCTTTTGTTTTATCATCATCATCATCAATTTGATTGAAAATTTTCATTTTCTTGTCATTTTCTATATTTAATCGTCTTTTTTTTTACTTGGATTGTATTGCCATGATGGATACGTGATATATCGACGTTTTTTTCCTTCTTCTTCTTCCTTCACTGATCTACTTCTTTTTTTTTGGATCGAAACAACAAAAACTTGGTTTATTGAATTCTGTGGTTGCTGTTCAATATCGATTATAGATTTACCAAATATAACAATCGATATAATGGAAATATTTGATGGAAATTCAATGATGATGATGATGATGAAAACTAACCAACAACAACAACAACATCAGAATGGTATAGTTAATTCAACACAACAACAACAATCAAACAATCATGAACAATTCGACCACCATCATCATCATCACAATTCAAAACAAGAACCGAATCAAACAAAATCAACCACAAATACCGGAAATATATTGAATAATAATAATAAACAACGTAATAATAATAATAAGATCCGGAAAATATTTGTCAAAGATCGTATAAAATTACGTTGTATTATTGATTCAAATCCTGAACCATTCCGGATTCGTTGGTTATTGAATCATCGTGATATAACAATGTTGTTTACATCGAATGGTAAGTTTCTTTTTCTTTTTTTGTTGAGAATCGGTAACCAAACATTCAAATACACCTTCGCGATTCATTAATTTTCGAAAATAAATTATCATTTTTTTCTGTTGTTGACTGGTTTCCGTTAGAATATCAATTATTGGATAAAAATCGAACACTTTTAATCGATAATGGTGGTGTTAGTGGTGGTGGCCTAGGTCGAAAACATGAAGGAAAATATCAATGTTCAGCATATAATAAACTTGGTCGTGGTGATTCATCTGAACTAATCATTTCAGTATTACGTAAGTATTGTCCACATAACAAAAAAAAAAAAAAAAGATTTTCGTAAACTTTCTCTTTTTGGTCTTGTTTCTATGGAATTTTTCATAATTTGTTTTAATTGTGTTCAAGTTTTTTGTGTTTGTTTGTGTGTGTGTGATAATTAGTTGTTTAACACCGAAACAAACAGTGGGGTAAAAAAATTCCGACAACAGGAAAACAAAAACAATAATTAACTCTAGTCCATTGTTGTCAATGTTGTTGTTATAGTTTCTCAAAAAAAAACAAAACAAAATTCTCTAAAACTTTTTTGATTTATTCTTGAAACAAACAGAGTAAAAAACGACAAAATTCCAGGTGTTTTTTTGGTGGTAATTAAATTTCGGAAAATTTAATGAGCCTAATTTCAATGTGTTAGCCATCTAAACACACACATGTGTTTCTTGTTTTATTTTCAAACAAATTTTCATAAATTTTCAAGTCAATTTACAACGTTCAACGAAAAAAAAGAATCCAACAAAGAATAGCACAACAAAAGAATGCTACAAAAGAATTTTTGGTTTTGCAAAAATGAATTATTTTATCATTAATTCTTTCTTTTGAACTTTAGATTCTTGTTTTTTTTGATGCGCATTCGCAACATTTCATAATGTTTCACAATTCTGTTCCACAAAAAAACGACGATGATGATGATGGCGATAACAAGCATCGTTTGGTTCGTTCCAATGGCTAATTGTTATTTTTTTTTTTTGTTGTCATCACTGAAAATTCGATCGACACCAGAAAATAAAATAGGAATTTAATATCGATTCTTTTTTCGAAACAAGTTTTGAAGCATTCTGTTGTTTGATTTGGTTCAATGTTTTTGTCACATTTTCAATGTTTTTTCCAACTTAATAGTTTTTACATTTTGTTGGTGATGATTCAAAGAAAAAAAATGAAAATTATTAAATTTTCAAACCAGAAATGGAAAGAAAACGACCGAAAATGAAATTCAAATTTATTTTGCTTTCATTTTTCTAGATTCTTTCTCCTAGATTCGAATAGATCGGCAAAATCGGATAATGATGAAAATCTAAAAACAAAACCAAAAGCAAAAAATCGAATCCAAATTAGCCGAATCTGATAATAGTAATAGCATCATCATTTATTTTTCTATAGTTTATTTTACTTGTTTCAAACCATACCTAACACTATAGCATAATATCCATTGATTTGTAATTGACCTGATTCGATTGTGATGATGACATGATAATTGGCAAAGAAGTAAAAAGTTGTTGAAAGAAAAAAAAAGTTTTTTCGTAAACGATGATTATGATAACGATGAGAACGATAATTGACCATCGATTTCAAATCAAGAATCGTTTATCATCAGTGCAATGAAATGTGTGTGTGTGTGTGTGAAGGCAAAATTGGTTGCCACTACCAAATTTAGTAGAAAAGAAAAAGATAACACCATTTACACGCACATTCTAGTGATTTTTTTTTCAAATTCTTAACAAGAATTTTGTTGCTGTGTTGCACAAAGTGATGTAATTCTAAATTATCTTTTATTACATGTTTTTGATGATGCAGAATTTGCAGAATTTTATGGACGAAACAAAAAAAAACTTTTTTTCATTCTCTTGTATGACACTTTACCTATCTTTTACTGCTAATGATAATTAATATTTATTTATTTTTTTTTTTTGTTTGCATCTTTCATTATCATTCTACGATTTCTTGACATAAGAAGTTTTTTCTACTTTTTCTCCTATCATTATCTTGATCCATTAAAACATTTAAGCTTGTATATAGTGTTTTTTTGTTTGCATAAAAATTACATTTCAAAATAGACTAGAAAAATCACATGTCAAGATTTTTATTCGTCTAAATCAAATGGATCCCACACTAACACACAAACACAAACGTAATTCACATCTCATTTTGAAAAGATTTTTATTCATCAAAGAAAAAAGTTATGTAAACAAAATGATGATTATGAAGAAAATTGAAATTATTAATGAATTTTGGAGTAACAAACACCCGTATCCATTGGCTAATTATATCTAAAATGATATAGGCAGAAACAAAATTCATGAAATGTTTGGTTTCTCGAAAATTTTCTCACTTTTTTCTACATTCTTAATAGATTTTAGTTGCAAAAAGAAAAGAAAAAAAGATTGAATAAACTTTTAGTTTATCGACAATAACACGCCATATATACTTTTTTTGATTTTCCGTTATAAGTCAATTTCATTACGAAAGTTAAATATTAAATTATGAATTCAAATTTGCTTCACATCGTCATCCGTATTATGCATATGGCAATGACATATCTGTGTGTTTGTGGGTGTTCGTTTATATTTTGCAGCGTGCGGTTATTATTTTTTTGTTTGTTTTGATGGTTGGTTGGTTAGTATATGATAATTTGTTTCAACACTGAAATCCATTACTTTACTTAGGTTTTTTTTCTGGTGGATGAACAAATTATGATGATTATTATGATGACAATGGAATCCGAGGAATCATTTTCTCAGATTTTCTTGCATGAATGAAAAAAATTTCCATTTTGTTCATACATTTCATTTATCATCATCGAATTTAACCCTTTTTCTTAACCCTTTTTAAATTTCCTCGTTTTATTTTTACTATGAGGTTATCAAAAAGACTTTGAAATTTGATCATCAATGATTTTTTTTTCTTCTCCCCTGGTATTAAATGATATATAGGACCACCAAAATGTGCCTTTAAATCCTCTTCATCATTATCATCATCATTATTGAAAAATCCATCGTCGATGACTTCATCAACGACGACTACTTTATCACCATCCGCACATGTGACAAAGATTGATTCAATAATCAATTATCCGGCAAATTTATTCTGTCAAGTTGATGCTACAATGCCATCATCATCATCAATAAAACAACAACAACAACAACAACAATCATTGCCATCATCAATAATGATTGATGATCGATTATGGATTTATTGGCAATTACCAAATGATCATTTTGTATTGACAATAAATTCAAATGGAAAATTATTACGAATACCATTGAAACGTTTAGATCAATTTAGAAAATTACGAAAAAAATTATCTCAATCATCATCATTGTCTAAAAATGATGATCATAATAATAATAATCGTCTGTTTGATGATGAAATTGCCGATCTACTCGATATGGATTCTGATGATGAAGAAGATAGTAAAAAAGAAAATGTCAATGATGATGATGATGAACAACGACCTAATAATGTTAATGATTATCGACGTATAACATTAGCATCGAATGATGTTCGATCAAAATTAACAATTATACCACGTTCATCCGAAGATTTTGGTGTTTATCAATGTTGGGCGGAAAATTTTTTCGGTTCAAATCGTCATGAACCTTGTTTGTTTAATCTAACTAACAATGGTAATTTCAACGATATTGACAATAAACAGATACTAAAAACATTCGATAATAATCATCATCAAAAATCATCATCATCATCACAATGGAAAAATACAGCCATGTCAAAAAATAAACCAAAACTTCCACGTTCAGTTACAAATTGTACGACAACATTCCTGATTACATCATTATTATCGATTCGTTGTGAACATTTAAATTATTCAACATTTCATCGAAAAATGTTTGGCATTGGCAATGATGATGATGACAATGATGATGATGACAATGATGATATAGCCGATCGTAATCTAAAATTTCATTTAATTCTGAAAGAATTATCAAATTATAATCGTAATCGATCAGAAAATTTGATTACAGATATAAAAATTCGACCACCACAAACAAAAAACATTATCACAGCTAATCAAACTAATCCAATTGAACCGATATTTTTAATATCAAATGTACGACCAACTTTTATTTACGAAGCTATCATTTATGTTTCAAATGATTTTGGTTATAGTGATCAAGTAAGTTTTTGCAATTTCTAGATTTTTTTTTCACCAAAATGATACATTTTTCAAATTCTCTAAACCTTTATAATTTAACAGACTAGATTAATTGTCAAAATGAATGACAATAAAACGACTTCATCAACATCCGGAATGAATGGCTATTATAGTAATGATAATGATTATAATAACAATCATTATCAGAATACATTTAGTGAATGGCCATCACATTTACCGTTACCATCATATGATGATGATTGGCCCGATATAAATAGTTTTGATTATCCAGAATATGATGATATTAATGATAATTCATTAATATCATCATCATCATCATCAATGCCAATTGGTAAAGCAGATTTACATCAACAACAAAATTCACATCATAATCTAATTAATAATGGTCCATTTGCTACAACAATTTCCCTATCATCATCATCATCATCAAATCAACAACATCATCATGATAAACATCATAATAATCATCATTCGGATATCGATTCAGATATATTAAGTGATGAATTTGGTCTTGATCAATTTGGTCAAAATTCTACAACTAATCAAAATCGTTTTGTATTAATCATTATCATTATATTTACTATTGTATTAATAACATTTTCAACATTATTATCGATTGCAATTGGTCTTTGTTTATATCGTCGTAAACGTAATAAATTGATTGAATTACATCAACAACAATTACAAGAACAACGACAACAACAACAACAACAATCGAATCAATCATCATCATCATTATTTGATCAAGGAAAAATGAATGATAATTTTAGTGATGATGATAATCATGATCATTGTATCGATAATGATGATAAAATTGATGGTGAAAAAACAACAATCATTGATTCAAGTTTTACGGAAACATTTCCATTAGATAATTATTCTACTGCTGGTGTTTTTATATTGGATAAAACTCGTTCCAACAATCATCATCCATCTGATTCAATTTTATCAAATAATCATCATTTTTATCAACAACAACAACAACAACAACCACATCATCCATTGATGATTTATCGTGATTTTGTATCAACCCCACCACCACCACCATCATCATCAACATCACCGGCAACATCGATGATACAACATCAATCATCAGCAATGAATATATTGAATCCATTAGTTCAACAATCACAACAACAACAACCAACAATAACATCAGAATTTTTATATCAACCAGCCGGTAATACATCCGGTTTTCTTGATCTTGCTGTTGATCGTGGTAATGTACAACTTATACCATCATCAATATCACCACCACATTTACAACCAACATCAATGTCATCATATTTAACATTTTCTAATATTGAACAACAACAACAACAAACAGAACCAATATCATCATCATCTTTAATGTTTACTACTGCAAATACAAATACAGCAACTATTAATAATAATCTAGCCGGTAATCAATCCATTTCAGAAGTTTGAAAAAAACATTGTATGATGATCACGCAACTAATGATAATAATATGGAAATGAAATCAACATCTTATGATGCGGTCAACATCAACAACAATCTTGATTTATATTTATATGTTTGTTTCTGTTTGTGTGTTAGTAAAATTCATGAATGGTATTATATCACGCCATCATCAAATAATGAAAACCGAAAAAAAATGATAAAGTAAAGAATTTCTTTTTTCTATTTTCTTATTTATTTATACTGATGATACTTGAAATCTAGTGTATTTAGTGTATTTTCAGTTTTCTAGTCTTTTTAATAATACTGAATGCCGTTTTTTTCTAGTTTTAGCTTCTTATTATTCTTTCATTTGAAATTTCTTAAGGGAATTTAAACATCATTTCCTCACCCTAACGAATCAACTTTTCTCTTATTCCATTCACTTAATAGTAATTAATAATAATGATGATAATGATTTTTTTTCTTCTTTCTTTATTATGGATTTTTTTTATGGTGCTACTTTGTTGTTTGCATTACACTCATAGATGATGATGACAATTATTACACAGATGATGACCACGGTAGGTTCATTTATAGTTGTCTTGTTTTTATATTTTTTTTTGTCTTATTCTTTATTTTTGTTTTTTTTTCTCATTGACTTTATCACTGAATTCATTTATTTAGGAACAGAAAATGGCTGTTGATAATAATAATGAAGAAAATGACTGGAAGAAATAAGGTCAAATATTCTGGTGTCGACAAAAAAAAAAAAGAAAATGTTTGGCTTTCTGGCTTTGGTTCCAAATATACAAACACTACTCTAATTGATATCCCTTTGGGGATTTTTTTTCTTCTTAATTTTCTTTTTGTATTGTTTGTGTCACATCACCAAAAATTTTTTTTTTTTTACATCCTTATTAAAATCTTTGAACAAATATTTCCTTATATTTGGTTGTCCACAAACCACGGTGACACAAAACGAAACCGAAAGATAAGAATAAATTTGCTGATCGCAAACTGACTGACTGCCAATAATCAAAAAAATCCAAACACAGACAATTACATCAAGAATAGATTTAAGAATTTTTTATGTTTGTTTTGTTTGCAAGAATCAATTAAACACACAAAAAAAAATTTTGGATTGTAAATTGAAATCGATTTTTTTTTCGTTCATTTGAAATGAATTAGCAAATTTTTTTTTTTTTGATCGATATAATGGATGTAAACAAAAACAAAAAATTCTGTGGCCTTTTCTAATGATTACAACATAAAGGGTTAATGGAATATGAATGTAAAAATAAACGAATTTTATCAATCGAATAAATCTTTTCTGTTTCATTTTTTCATTTTGTTCATTCAAGAATATGATGAATATTAATCATTGAAAAAAAATTGAAAATTACTAAAAACTTTTTGAAAATCAAAAATTATCAGAGTTATACACACTTGGTTAACCACGGATTTTTAGCCACCCTTTTTTCCTCGTTTACAGTTGAAAAAAAAATCAAAAATCACTTTGTTTAATTTCTGCATGATGATCATATATGCGTTTAACCCGGAATATAAACGCAAACGAAAATAAAATAAATAAAAAATTCTTCTATCTCATTAAAGAAAATTTATTATAAATGCAAACAAACTCAGTAAACTTTTGATTCCCGAAACAAAACAATAACAAGAGAAAATAAAACTTTCAATTGTCATTGTCACTCGAATCATCATCATCATAAAAATACAAATCCAAAAATATGATCATCCAAAAAACTTGAATGTCGAGAATTCACGAATAGAAAAAAAATCTATTCTTTTTTTACCCAAACAAACAAACAAACAAATTGCATTTCCATTTGACTCTATTTTTTTATTTTGTTTTTTGTTTTTTGTAGTTGTTTCTTTCGATATAATAAATGGAAAAAATGAAACAAAATGAAATGAAAATCAACGAAGCGCAAGGTTTGCTGTTTTTGTTGTTGTTGTTTTTTTTTACAGCTTTTCATAATGATCATCGCCATCATTTCAAAGCTCTCCAAAACAAATCATCAATGTTTTCGCAAATTGAAATATGTGTGGATAATTTCTTTTAATTCTACAATATCCATTCATCTCTTTTTTGTGTTAGTCAGATTTTTCAGTTATAAAATAAAAAATTAAATCTAGTCATTCAAAAATGATTCACAACACACACACACACACTTCGTTCATTGCACCCATTTATCACATGTGGAGTACATGATGATAACATCTTACCCAATGAAAAAAATAACGCCGTATACAGAATCCAACCAGAAGTGGTGACTTTCTTTTTTTTCAATTGAATAATATCTATAGGTTTTCAGAACAAAACCCCATTCCCCCCCCCCAAAAAAATGTAATATAATAAAAATAATAATATCTTTGAATTCTTGATAATGATACCATTGAACCAGAAAAACACGCACACACACACACAAACACAACTTGATATTGTTTTTGATTAATGGATTGATAATTTTTTTGGGTTAACATTATGTAATTTATGAAACAAAATCACGAAACATTTTGGTTTGTTTGTTTGTTTTGTTTTGTTTTGTTTCATTCTGAATTTCTCCGAATATACACACACATTATTATCATCAGAAGAATAACAGGATTTCGATTTTTGAAATTTTAAATGGAATAAAAATTCTTTATTTTAGTAACATGGATGCCATCTATTGAATCGAAAATGAAGTTTAAATTAAAAAAAAAAACAGAATTGTAGATAAATAGATATTATTTATTAATTTCATCTTTTCTTGAATTAAATAAAAATTTCCGAATCAATCAACCCAAACAAACAAACAAACAAACAAAGATTAATTATCCATGAAAAAAATGGAACATAAAATTCAATTTGGATTCAACGACAACAATAATAATCCAATAATAATGATAAAGTTTGACCGATGTTTTCAAAGAATTTTTAGAATCGAAAAAATTTGTCATGTGTATTATTAATCGTTTGTAATAAATTATCAGAGTTTTATTCCTATAGAATCGTTTGGTTTGTTTGTTTGATTGTTTTTTCTTATTTATTTCATTGATGATGATGATGATGTTGACAAATGTTTTTGCTTGCCGTTCATAAAAACACAATCGTCTTATGGACATTTATAAATGGAAAAAATGGGAAATAACATTGTAACGGAGAAAAAAATTTCATTTAGACCAGAGAATATTTCGAAAAAAAAACAGAGCGAAATAATGAAACGAATTCAAGGTTATCGTATTCTGAATTTTTCTGATCTTTTTTAAATATCAGAGAAATATCAACTTTTTTTGATTTGAAATCAAAATATATTTCGATTGGAAAATTCAAATGAAATTAAATATGAATATATTTAGCCATATACATCACATAAGTTCTTTTAATTCATACACAACAACAACAAAATTATCAACCTGATTTGTAATGTTAATTCATATCGAATAATGGACAATAATGATGATATTGCAATAATAATCATCAATGAATGTTTAGAATTTGTATTTTTTGTTTTTTTACATTCTTTTAAACATTTACGTATTCAGGAGGTACCAGTAAAAAAACACTATCTTCTGATCACCAAAAAAAAGAAAGAAAAAACCTGTATTAAACAACAATAAAAAAAATGCTTTTTAAAATGAATTTGTTTTTTTTTTCATTCACTTTGTTGAATATTTACCATATAAATGTTTCCTTTAATGTTTTTTGATTGAAAATATTTGATTGAAACAGAAAAAATTTTGTTTTAAAATTCATTTTATTTGATCATTTTTACTTGGAACAAAAGCAAAAACAATGCATTTTAAAATATTCAATGTTTTTTGTTTCATTTGTATCATGATCGATTTTTTCGATTGTAAACATTTTCTATTGAATAAAAGAAAATCTCATTGTAATGATGAAAATCTAATGAAATTAGATCGTAATATTTTAAAAATTATGACCATCGGTCGATGGGGAAGAAAATTTCCAACAAATATTGATGAAGTACGATCATATTGTCGGTAAGTTTTTTTGGTTTTGGTTTTGAATTTTCTTGTTAATCTTTGATTCCCATTTTGTTTACACACAAACACTTTTAGTGAAACATCTGAAATGACCAAAGAAGCGGAAAAATTTGCAAATGAATGTTTTTCCATTGAAATCGGTAATACTGCTAAATTGTTTCTATTCGGTTTAAAACGTATGACAAGACAAATGTGTCAACGACGTAAAAATCGTCGTCTTTCAATAATGTTATCAAATGCTGCCTGTCGTAATCGTATTGTTTCAAATGATCCATGTCTTTCAATTGTAACTAATCAAACAAAAGATTTAATACCGTTAAATATTGGTAAAGATAAAATTAATTTTATGTGCTGGTAAGATTTTGTTTGTATGTTGAAAAAATTCGTTTGAAAATTTCATTGTTTTCTCATTTTGTTTCATTTATTATAACAAAAAGCTATTATGTACAGTTATTGAAATGTGAACTAAGTTATTATGGACAACAATCATGTTCGAAACAAGATAGTCTTGATATGTGGATTGATTTAATACGTTCAGTAAATGAAGATTCATTAAATTTTGCTTGTGGTGATTATAATGAACATACTGATCGTTGTGATACAATTGGTGAACCGGATTTTAGTCGAAAAAATTCATCGATAAAAGTTGATAAACGTTTCAATTCGTTTATGGTTACTGCATTAGAATTATTTGAATCATTAGCATAAATTTTAAAAAAATTAATTTTCTCGTTTTGCCATTCAAGAATCATATCAAATTCGGAAAAAGAAAAAGAAAGGATTAAAAACGTTATTTGATTCGATTTTTCGCTTAGTTAATTCAATAAATTATTTTATATTTTTTCTCTCTCACTCTCTTTGATTTTGGTTTTTTAAACGTTTTAAGATTTGAAGGTTCCCAATAAAAATTTGATCATTATCTTTTGAATGTTTTATTTTTTTACGTTAATAAAAACTTTAATAAACAGAAAAAAAGAACTACCTGTGCTTGTTGGATACTTTTTGATCAACATCTTCAAAAGATGTAAAGAAACGAGATGATGAGAGATGAGGGGAAAAATTTTAATGAAATTTGTAATGAAGAAGACGAAAAAGAAGAAGAAGAAGAAGAAAAATTATATTCAGTACAGTGATATAAAAGCAAGGTACTAACCCTTGAAATCCGTAAAAAACTTTTTTTTCTTATCATTTATTCAATCCTTATCATACTTGAATAAAATATTTTTTTTTAATTTCCAATCAAAAGAAAAAAATCATGATTTTTTTTACAAATCAATTTCTGTTGATTATATCAATGATAATATTATATAATATAAATCATCATCAACATCAAACACAAGCAGCATGTATATCAAATAATAAATCTAAATGTTCAATGAAATATGCACAAGAAATTGATCTTTATGCATCACGTATAGCAAATGTTGGTAAACGTGGACGTTTTTTTCCAAAAAACCAGATTGAATTGGAACAATTTTGCAGGTATGATATTTTCATAATTTTCAAATTTCAATTTTTTTTTTGTTGACGTTTATGTTTTCGTTTGTTTGCCTGTAAATAGTGAAACAAAAAATATGACCAATTTGATGGAAAATTATATGAAACAATGTTGTGAACGTGAACTTGGACATGTAGCTAAAATCTATATTTATAGTATAAGAAAAAATACAAAATTATTATGTTCAAAACGTAGTAATAAACGTACATCAATGATGACAAAATTATTTACCGTTGCACCTTGTATTAATCAAAAGATTCGTGATTTTCAATGTTTGGCTAAATTTAAAAATCAAACTAAACAAATGGTTCATTATGGTGATGATAAGGAAAAAATTCGTCGTAGTTGTTGGTAAGTTTTTTCTTTTGGGTGACGATAATGACAGGATTCTTATCGAATGCTTCTTTTTTCTTCTTAGTCACTATAATGATTGGATTGAATGTGAAGAAAAATTCATCAATGATTTAACATGTATCAATGATGAACAACATCGTGAATTTGCTATAGATTTATTACGATCATCACGTGGTGATACACATCGATTTTTATGCGGTGAATTTGATGAAACATCCGATAAATGTGATCATCAAAAAAAATTAAATTCATCATTATTTGATCCAAAAATGAATATGGATTCACGATTACAATCATTAGTGTTTATTGGTCTTCATTTACTTGAATCAATTGGACATAATTCTAGTATTAATTAAATTTTATCATTAAACAAAACAAAACAAAACAAAAAAACTTTGAATTATAAATCAAAAATAATTAATAAAATACAATATAATTCAAGAACATGATCCATGGCTTTTAACGTTATTATTGTTGTTGAATTTACAGTTGAATTCGATTTTTTTTCTCATTCAATGATATCAATGATAATTATAATAATGGTGGTAGTTGTTCTGGTAATGGTAATATGAACATGATAAGTTCTTCAATTATCAATCATATCGATGATCATATACAAAGAATGAAATATCCTTGAATATCATGTTTTCAGTGATTCTGTTTATGAATAATTTTCCTTCTTTTTTGTTTTTTCATTTAACTAATTATATTTCCGGAATGAATCATCATTATCGATCAAATCTTGATTGAACCCTGATTATAAATCAATGACTTTTTTTTCTGTAGCGATGTCAAAAAAACCTTTAAAACAAATCATTAAGATCATTAACCATTATTTACATTTTTTTTCAGATTTGAATTTGAGTTTGATTAAAGGAAAAAGAATTCGTATATTCACACACTTTATTCCTTGACATTGATCGAATTCATTTTCGTTTTCTTCTCTAACATGTTGAATTAATGAATGACCGTTCCATTCTATTCGTATAATTCAATTGTTTTTTTGTCGCCTCTCTCTCTCTCTCTCTCGCTGTTTTTCTCATGCATTCATCCATGGCTATCCATGCATGAATCAGCGGAAGAAAATAAAAAATGAAAAACTTTTCGCTTTTAGCGATGATGATGATGACGACCGTGATTTTTTTTTTGTTCGTTCATTTCGAATGACGAAAAACCATCATTAATTTGATTTCTAATGATAAAAATTTTCAACATGGATGCTAATAACATTGGATTTTTTTTTTGTTGTTGTTTCAAAATCTTAATCGTATAATTACCCAACATATAAATGATACGTGCATGTTTGCATGCGTAAATATGTAAAAATAAAATAAAAATATTTACAAGAACCTGCTTGAAACATTGTAAAGTCATTTTTTTGAATCATACACAACTGATATTCAATCAGATTCGAGAGAAAGAAAAAAAAACTCTGAAGGATACTATTCAGTTTTGTTTTTCCCATATCTACCAAAAGTAAAATTGTAAATGAATTTTTTGTTGTTGTTGTTGTTGTTTTTTTTTGTATCCAAATAATGAAAAGGTCATCGATAATGATAATGTTGATTATTATTTTACGTTTTTCTTAATTAACTGAAAAAAAAACAAATAAAAAATTGTCAAACAAGATTGATAAGTAGTGGTACTTAAAATTTCCAAAACATTCATACTATACTGGTTGTTTGTTTGTTTGTTTGTTTCTGATTTACGAACCGAAAAGCAAAATAAATATTCAAAAAAAAAATCTTGAATTTCTACATCAACATTCTCATTCGATGTTATCGTCGTCTTTGGATTTCTTGTTTTTCTTTCATGAATATTTTTTCGAAAAAAAAATCCACAATATAATCATCCTGTTTATTTTGCATTCCTCTTTTTTCTCCAAAGAATTCTTTTAGAAATTTTTGAATACATTACACACGGGTACATTTGATCATCATCATCTATATATAGAGAATAACATCCAAATGAAATGTTGTTAATTTGAATTTCATTGCATCAATTCAATTCAATTGGTTGAATCTTTTATTCTTTTGTTTGTTTGTTTGTTTTTTTTCTTCCAAAGAAAAATTCTTATCAATTCAATTTGATTTTATTGCTATTGCGTCAATTATGCGTTTAATAATAAAAAATCTATCATCATTTTTCATTTTGATTATCGTTTTGATGATCATAATGATTACCAATGCAACATTAATGGTCGACAAACCTGAATGTAATGAAAAACGTATGATGAAAGTTGATCAAGATTCAATTGCATTAAATATGTTTGGTTCGGATCGTCGATATCCGGTCAAACGTGAAGAAGTGAAAAAATTTTGCGAGTAAGTTATTATTTGAATTTATTTATAATCATCGATTAACATTATTTCAATTTAAAAAAATAAATAAATAAATAAACAGTGATACTGGACGTCATTTAGATAGTTTGGATAAATTTACTAAACAATGTTATACATCCGATGTACAAAATATGGCAAAAATATTTGTCTATAGTAATAAACGTACAATGAAAATGTATTGTGGTAATAGTGGTGGAAGACGTAAACTTAAACGTTTACAAAAATTATTAACAATTGCACCTTGTTTAAATACCTATTTACATCAGGATAAATGTTTAACACAATTTTTATCCAAAATACGTAATCTTATACAATATAAAATGAATGGTGAAAAAATCTATTATACTTGTTGGTATGTATTTATTTTGATTCAAATTATTCAATCGTAATTTCATTTTTTTTAATTTTTTTCAGTTATTTTGTCGATCTAATGAAATGTTTTGATCATCATTTATCTAAATTATCATGTGCAACTGCAGAACGACTTGAAGAATTTAATAATCTTGTACAATCATTAAATGGTGATATGATTAATGTATCATGCGGTGAATATACGGAACAAACTGATCGTTGTGATCATCTTAAACCATTGAATCAATTTAAAACCGATCCAAATACAACACAACGATTATTAGATCCAAAATTACGTTCATTTTTTTTCACAAGTATCGCTATGTTTGAATCGATTGGCAATGGCAATAGTACAAATAATTTTTAATAGTAAAAGTCACTTTTTTCCCTCATCAAGTAATTTGTAAATATTTTTAATAATTAAATAATAATAAACGAAATGCTTTGAATCATTATTGATCTGTAAATCTATCTAAATCTCTATCATTTATTGTTTTTTTCCGAATAAAAAGGACATAAACAACACTTGATTATTTTAAAAAAATAAATTTTATGATTAAATGTGGAAATTGATTCAAGGTTGCATACGTAAAGCACCATCCAAACGGATAACTTCACCATTTAGCATTGGATTTTCAATAATAGATTGTACTAGATGTGCATATTCATCAACATGACCTAAACGTGGTGGACATGGAACCGTTGCTGCTAATGCTTTACGTGCAGGTTCCGGTAATGCAGCCAATAATGGTGTATCAAATAAACCGGGTGCAATAGTCATTACACGAATACCATGTGGAGCGAAATCACGTGCCATTGGTAATGTCATTGCTACAATACCACCTTTACTAGCCGAATATGCAATCTGACCGATTTGCCCATCAAATGCAGCAACCGATGCCGTATTTATGATAACACCGCGTAAACCATTTACCGATTCATTTGCACCGATCAAACCTGCAGCCAATCTAGCTACATTAAATGATCCTATCAAATTGATTTCAATAACCATTTGAAATTCATCCAATGAATGTGCTCGATTTTTGCGAAAATCATAGGTACGTCTTGCCATACCAACACCAGCACAATTGATAACAGCATCAAGACGTCCGAATTTGTCTTTACAAGCATCCAATGCACTTTGAACTTCGCTTTCTTCGGTTACACTTGCCGTTATTGGCAATACATTTGGACTATCATATTTTGATTCTTCGTGATTACGATCCAAAGCAACGACACCTTTTGCACCTTGTCGTATTAAACGATCAACAACACCACGGCCAAGACCTATTCAAACAAATTAATAACAATGATAATTTATCATGATATAGAAAAGAAGATGATTAACATACCCGATGCACCACCGGTTACCAATGCAACCATTCCTTTAATCGATTGTACTCCACTCATTTTTTATTATTATTTCAATTTCAAACGGTTTTTATTAAACAACAATCCAGATTTATTTTATGACTTTATACAAATAAAACAAACAATAAATTTTTAGGGTACATGTATTACAATTTGGTTTAATTAAAAAAAATCGATGATAAATTGGATGATCACAGTTTTAGAAATGATAAACAATAACACAGACACGCGCTTGTGGCTTTAAAGCATCATCATCAGTCGAAATGGTCGTAAACGAGCCGAAATAGGATAACACACAGCAAATTTTCGATTTGCACATGTGTACAATAAATGTAAAATAATTGAAGACCATTGATTAATGATAATTTTGAAGAATTTTTGAATTGTAAACAATTGTCCATACATTAAAAAAGGAGGAGCTTCGATTTTTGTTTTTGAATATGATAAAAACCGCCAATCAATCCGAATTTTAAATAAAGTTTTTTTTCTCCTTTATCCTAAATCACTATGGTAATAATTTATTTAATTAAAAAAAATTATTTTTTTTAATATCATCATTATATTTTATCTTATCTGTTTTGATTGGTTTTAAAAAAAAAATATTTGATAAAAAACACAACTAAAACAATTAATTGTATGAAAATATTTTAAAAATAACTCATTCAATCAATCACTACGTTATTATTTAAACACCTAATTATTGTTTAATTGATTTTTGTTAAATTGTCTCAGATGGTAAATTTTTATTAAATTATCAACAAAAAAAAATCACTACGTCTTTTATCATCATCATCATCATCAAAACATCTTACAATGAATACCACCAGTTTCAATCGTTTAATGCTTGGAAATCGTCGTCGAACAAAACGACAATTCTTCTTGATCAATGTTAAAAAAATGACAATGAAATCGGCAAATATAATTGTTAAACAAGATTATTATGTTATCATATCGATGTCTAAACGTCGTATTCGTATACCATTGATAAAAATCAAAGAAATACGTATCGGACAAATGACAGATACATGGATTGAATTTGTAACGAAATTAAAAAATAAATCGAATAAATCTAATTATGATCATAAAATGATCAAATTATTAGATGATAAAAATTTACAATCATTTTCATTGATTATCAAGCGAGATGATCATCCATTATTATGTTATAGTTGGGATTTTTGTACGAAAAATATTGATCTTTTTAAACAGCTTATAATGACTGAAATGCAAGAAAAAATTAACGAATTGAATCATCTGAATAGTTTTGAAACGCATCAGGAGTAAATTTTTTTTTTACATTTTGCTTTGTTGTTTAGTTTAATAAATAAGATTTTCTTATCTAATAGAATGTTGGAATTTCTGTATCGAAAATATCTTCTGAAAGAAGGTAAAGATGTAAAACATTTGTTTTGTAAGCAAACAAAAACTGTAAATGATGAAGAAAATATTATTGTTACCGATTATCATCGATTACAACGAAGATTTCAGAAATTTCTTCATAATTTAAATCTAACACTTGATAGGCGTTATTTTCAGTTAATTATGGTATGTCATTCATGTCAATATCAAATTTTTCAAAATTAATTTCGATTTTTTTTATTTAAAAATCAGGAAATGAATGATCAATTAAAATTGAAAAATAAATTTGAATTATTCGATCTAATCAATCAATTTGATTGCCGTCCATATTTTAATTTTCTATTCAACAAGTAAGTTTCAAGATTCATTTTTTTCATTCAACTTTTTTTTCATATATTCGACAGATACTCGATTCATGATGATGATGATCGAATATCTCGTGAAGGATTAATTCATTTTTTGATTGAAGAACAACATGAATCGCCGGATGAATTGGAATTGGATGAATTAATGGAAAAATTTGGTGAAAAAATTCAAGAACAACAATTTATTACACGTCGTGGTTTTTATTACCTGATGGAATCACCAAAATGGTGTGAATTATTTGATTATGATCAAAAAAAAGTTTGCCAAGATATGACACGTCCTATGACCGATTATTTTATTGCATCATCACATAATACATATCTAAGTGGTGATCAATTATTATCACCAAGTAGTTATGAAATGTATAGACAAATTTTATTGACCGGTTGTCGTTGTATAGAGATTGATCTATGGGATGATGTTGGTGAAAATGGACAGGGAACAACACGTCCTGTTATCTATCATGGTTATACATTGACAAAGAAAATTGAATTACAAGGTGTTTTGGAAACGATCAACAGTGTTGCATTTGAAAAATCTGATTATCCATTGATCATATCGATTGAAAATCGTTGTAAACAACAAGAAAATCATCGCCGTATTGCCCATTTAATGCGAACAATTTTCAATGATCGTCTATATCTTGAACCAGTTCCAGATGATTGTCGCCAGTTTCCATCACCGGAACAAATGCGTGGAAAAATTTTCATAAAATGTTCAAAAAATCGTTCAATAAATGAACATTTTCTTTCCGGAACTGATTTTGATGCACGATTACCATTAGGAATTATGGATATCTATGTCATGTCAAATGATAATCGCCGTAATCATATGACACAGATACAACATCTAAATTATTCAAAACGTCAACGTCATGAACCAATGGTTATCATTAAAAATGATGTTGAAGAAGATGATGAAAGCTATCTGCATAGATCATATAGATTACCTATTATAAGAGTGAGGCAAACTAAATTTATGAATCGAAGAGTCATTTCAAATATCGATAATTTCAATGCTTATGATGATGATGACGATGATGATGATGATAATGATGACGAAGTATGTGGTGCGGAAAGCATTGCTTTGAAAAGAAGTTCGGTAAGACAAAAAAAAAATCCTACTATTAATCATTGATTTTTGATTGATTAATTTGTTTCAGGATCATCATTGGGATGAATCATTTTCATCATGCATTAATTATTTTGAAACCAGAAAATTTTATTCGATAAAGAAATGTCTTGAAGAATGTAAGTGTTTAATGTAGATTTTTATTCGGTTAACTTTTTTTAATCATTATTACTCGTTGTTTAATTGATTTTATTAGTTAAAATTAATCATATGATATCACGTGATGAACGTAAATCATTGGAAATAAATTTTAATGAATATCGTCAATTTACTAAAAATCATATGGTACGTGTTTATCCAAGTGGTTGGCGACAAAATTCCAGTAATTATAATCCATTGGATCATTGGAATTGTGGTGCACAGCTAGTTGCATTGAATTATCAACGTTCAACATTACCAATGTTTATGAATAATGCATTATTTTCATTGAATGGTCAATGTGGTTATGTATTGAAACCGAACCATCTTCGTCATGATTATCCAAATAATCTATCAAACTTACATCGACCATTAATAAAATTAAGTATAAAAATTTTATGTGGTCAATTTTGGAATACATTTCATAATATGTTTGAATGTCAAAAAGTACGACTAAAAATTATCACACGTGTTTATTGTGGTGATAATCGTACATATCGTCAACCAACCGATACGACTAGTAATGGTTTCAATCCAATATGGAATGAAACATTTGAATTTCTAATTGATCAACCTGAATTAACATTCATACATTTTACATTGACAAATCATGATAATTTTTTTGCTCATTATCTAATATCATTCAAAGCAATGCGTAAAGGATATCGTTTTGTTCCACTATATGATAAAAATTATCGTTTAATTAGATTTACAAAACTATTTTTACATATTGATTATTAATTTATAGGAATTTTAATTTATTTATTCAATATCATCATCACTATTTTCAGTTTTTTCAATAAAATTTTCATTTTCCATTTCAATTTGTTGTTGTTTTAAAAGTTTTTCATCCTCATCTTCTGGACGTTCAGTTAACCATAGACCGGCATCAATACAACGTTTCATATGATATTCTGCTTCATCATCATCCATCTGTTTTAATGTTTCTTTTAACAATTCTACATCACGTTTAATGAAACATTGTTGTAATGGCTCGGGTAAAGAATCAAATACTTCCTGTGCATCTAAACCACCGGGGCCAATTAGCTTTTCGGTCGAAGGTTTTTCCGATTGTTCCTGAATGGCACGTTCGATTCGCATCTCTGCAGCTGTTCCTATACGTTTATGAAAATCTTCAATTTCTTGTTGCCAAAATTGTTCGAATTTTTGCCAATTTTCACGTGCTTTACTGAAAAATGTTGGCAAACAATCTCGTGGATCTGTACCACGTACCGTTTTAGCTAAATCAAGAATTAATTGTATCAATACAGCCTGACGAACAATATGTTCAAGTAAAGCAGTACGTTCTTCAATCTTCAACTGTATACACCATAATGATAGATAATCCAATGAATGTTGACAAACAATATTAGGATTTTCTACCAAAATTCTTCTAGAATCATCGAAACGTGAATGAAAAGCAAAATCACGTATAATTGATTCATATTGTTCAACGTGTTTAGCATATTGATCCATTTGTTCATCACTTATTTCATTATCATTGTCACCATCATCATTAGTTGATCGATGAATTTCATTATCATTATTATGATTTTTATTAATTAATGTTTTACTCCATGAATCATGACTAATTGTATCAACATTCCATGGCTGTAAACGATCAATACGATTCCATTCACAAAGTTCTTTTTCAAGTTTTTGTTTTTCCATTAAAATTTCTTCTTTTTTCTCATCATTATCATTAACATTAAATTTGGATAATTTTTGTTGAATTTCTTCTAAACGACAATCAATATCGATTTTAGTTTGACGATGTTTTTCCATTCGTTCTAAACGTGCTTGATGTCGCCAACGAAATAATGATCCAGTATCAATATTTGGATGTGTATCATCTTCATCATCCGATATTTCAATACGATTCCAACGGCTATAATCGACCATTTTTTTGTTGTTGTTTTGTTTAGATTTTTTAAAAATTAACTTGAATCAACGTTGACGTCAACAATAACTGAAAACTAATGGAAAAAATAATAATAATAATGCTAAACAATTAAATTGCTTTGGAATTTTATATAATCGATATTCGATCGAAAATTTAAATTAAATTTTTTCAAGAAAAAAAAAGATTTTATTTCAATTTTTTTTTAATTGTTTGTTTGTTTGTTTGCCCCCCTATAATATAATTATAAAGAACAATACAGTGTGTTTGCGTTTGTCTGTGTGTGTTGCAGTAAAATTCTTTGATTTTCGATTTTGCTTGACGACGACGACGATGATGATGATAATGTGACAAAAAAAAGGTGATGGTGGTGGTCAGTTATAATGATGATAATATGGATTTATTTTTTTGGTTGTTTTTTTTCGATTAAGATTTTTGCATTAGAAATTATCATGATAATGCCTGGATTTGGTGATTGAATGAATGAATGAATGAAATTTGATGATGAAATGAGCAACCAATTGAAGAAAAACTTATGTTTTTTGTTGAAAAAGATAATTAGAATACATAATTGATTGATTATGTCATTGGATGTGTGAAACAAAACAACTAAAACAAGAAATAATCTAAATTATTATTTAGGCCACATGAAATTTTTTTTCAAATTATTAAATATCATTAGTATTTAGTAAATGATTTTGTGTGTGTTTTGTTTGTAAAAATTATTTAAATTTCTTTTTTTTTTTTTTGAAAATGATTTTGCTTTAAACTAGATCGGATGATGATGATGATGATGAGAAATTCATGAATTAAAATGATTTCGTGATGATAATCAAACCAACCAATCGGTTTCTGTGAATGAATAATGATAACGATAATCAAATGAATAACAGATATTCTTTTTTCTTTCGTAACTAATAAAATGATGAATAAAAAGGGTTTGAATGTGTGAAATATTATGATGAATATTTTATTTGCTGTTATGGTTGTTGTTGTTGTTGTAATCAGTATATAATTATCACTTGAAAATTTAAAACATTTATTTGAATTATAATGATGACAGATTTCGATTTTTTTTTCACTGAAAAAATTGTGTAATTTATGTATTTGTGTGTGGGTGATCATCATATGCATTTTTTCCAAAAAAAAAAAATTAATTAATGTTATTGTTGGTGGATGATGGGTGATAATGGATAATGTTTAGCTTGAATGTCATTCACATTGAATTTGATTTAATTTAATTGTATTTAAAAATGTAACAAATAACAAATGATGATGAATAATTTTTTTTTTACTATTAAACTATTTTTCTTATACAACATGTGTGTGTGTGTGTATTTATGTGTAAAGATGTGTAAATCTTTGTGTAATTTCAAACAAACAGGAAAACAAAAACATTAAACAATTTTACTTTTTTTTCGAAAATCAATTATAATTTGAAAATTCAATAATCCAATAATAAGATGATGATGATGATGATGAAAAAGATAAAATCAATTTGATAATGATGTGGGGGCATGATGAACACCTTTAGGTTGATATCAATTATATCCTCAATCATCGATCATCATTTGATTAATTGATTTATTTCTTCTTCTTCTTTTTCTTAATAATTTTTTTGTTTGTTTCTTAGAAATTAAAATAACAAAAAACAAATAATATTATGATGGTAATGATAATGATGATGATGATGATGGTGGAAGGCGTTTTACAATTTTAAAATGTGAATTTTATCATAATGTCTACAAATGATATTTGTATGTTTGTGTGTGTGTGTGTTTGTGTTTCAATCACTATCTTTTTATTACTTAAACTTTATAATGAATAAACAAAAACAAAACGAAACAAAAGAAAAAAACACAATCAATTTAACAAACAAATAATTAATTGAATGTAATGAGAAAACATCCAGGTTAAATCTTTTTTCTGTATGTGAAAATTCGATAACAATTTTAGATAATTTTGATAATAATGATGATTACAAATACAAATCCTTCGATATTTATTTATTTGATTTGATAATAAAGATGATGATGATGATCAATATGACTAGGTGTTTTGTTTTGTTTTTTAAAATTGATGTATTTTAAATTCATATGCATGTGTGTGTGTGTGTGGGTGATAATAATTTTTTAGACAATTAGGAATTTTCAATAATTTGATAATTAATTAATTTGTTTATCTTTAATTAATTAACTTTTTCAACAATCATTATTATTTTCATTCTAATTAAATTTGATTAATTTAAGTAAAAATTTTTTTTTTGTTTTAAACAATAAAAACAATGAATAAAATTGAATACGACAGGTTTCTGTTTTTGTTTTAATAATAATAATTATGATAATGATAATCAATTTGACTGACTCAGGTAAAGTAGTAGTTGTTGTTGTTGTTGATTTATAATTATTATTATCATTCACTATCATTTAACAATAATAATAATAATAATTTCTTTTCTTTTTTTCTTTTGAAATAGACAATTAACCGCTGCTGCTGTTGTTTTATTTATTTATGCTCTTCTGAATATAATATTCTGTGATTGATAGGGTAATTGTGTGTATGTGATGTGGTGGGTGTTTTTTTTTGTGTACAAATATATGGGTTAGGTGGTGTAGTAATATTGTAATTTTATTTTCATTATTATTATTATTATTATTATTTGAAGTTTGCATTGAAAAAAAATTTTTTGATGTCTAATAATAAGTCTCTAATTCGACCCAACCACCAGGATTGCGACGTAAAATGAAACGACGAATTTCATCATAGACAAAAATCAATAATGAAAATGGAATCGGCACTAGCCACCAGGTGAATCTAAGTTTGAATTTGAATGGGAAAAAAAAGAATTAGATATCATGATAGATGATGATGGATATGAAGATGTTAAAAAAAACAATTGATTTAAAAATTCAAAAAGACTTACTTAAGAGGATATAATCGAAGTAGGATAGGCATGCCTGGGCAGTATGAAAGGAAAGCAGCCAATGCAGTCTCGAACACAAGGCCAAAGTTGAGCACATGATTTCTGTAAAATTAAATAAATGATTGCCATACGATTATTTTTTTGGTGATTAGTGTACTGTGTAACAAAATTTGAAAAAAAACATTTCTTACTTCATTTTTTGATGAACAAGTGAATTTCTTCGTGTTTTGCAGATAATCAAATCAGCCCATTGTACAACGACGATGGCCACAAAGAAAGCAGTATGACAAGTGTATTCCAACTTTTTACGGGCATGATAAGTCTAGATTAAAGTTTTTTTTAAAGATTTGAGATTGATAATCAAATCATGTAAAATCAACAACAAAAAAAAAACATACCCATTCTTGACCAGCTGCATCTTCAAGATCATTAACACCTTGTGAATCCCATTTTTCACGTAAACCGAAAAGCATCCAGCCCCAGAAACCATGTTCAGCCATAATGATGAAATATGAGAAGAAACCGGCTGCAGCTTGAATCATACCAATTTGACCATATGATACTGAAATAAGACGTTCATTTACCAATTTATCATGTTGTGGATCACGTGGTTGACGTTTCATGATATCAGATTCAGCCTATGGAAAAAGTATTTTTACATTTCATTATGAATAATAATTAAAAAGTAGAAAATTTACCTGTTCATAAGCGAGTGAGATAGCGGGAACCATATCGGTACCTAAATCAATACAAAGAATGGTAACAGTACCCAATGGTAATGGTGTATTGAAGATGATAAAGAATAGGAAAGGCGAAATTTCCGGAATATTTGATGTCAATGTGTATGCGATCGATTTTTTAAGATTGTCAAAAATCAAACGACCTTCTTCAACACCGGTAACAATTGATGCAAAATTATCATCCA